TCATGCATCATAACTTTTGAATTATATTCAATTAATGAATAAATTTTGTTTTGTATTAAAATGCATTTAATTAAACAAAAGAAATTGTTTAGATTTCTAGATTGTTATTCCATAAACAGTAAAAAAACAAAATGTCTTAAAGACATGATAAAAATATTACAGACTAAACATTAGAAGGTATTTAGCATGCAAAATTATAATATTTTGCTCTTAGATCATAAATATTTCTTTTTTCTTCTTATTCTTATTTTGAATTTACCTTATCGGAATTGTCAATTTAAAAGACCTTCTTATTATGTAATAAAAAAAAGAAAAAAAATTTAATACCCTGTACCTGAGTGAATATGAAAAAGGAAGTTTAGTTGCTCTGGAGAATCGTGGTCGTGCGGATCTATCTCTCACACATTCGTTACAGTAGTAGCCAGGTATTCAACCAATTGGTTATCAACGTTATCACACAACCACTTACAAACTTTTTTGGTTTTATTTTTTATAAGCGGTGAGTAGATTTTTTTTTTTTTTAAATCCTTAAAAAAATTTTCTTTGTTTTAAATTTAAATTTAAAAACAAAAAAAAAAACTACCTGTGAGAGTTTATTATTTATTTACATTTATATTAAACGTTTTTCATCATACATAATTAATATTAAAAACATGTTTCTACTGTTTTATTTTATTTTTTATTTATTTATTTAACAAGATTTATTTTTTATGTACATGATTAATTAAGTACTTAATTTTTTTATACTTACGCAATTTAATTTTAATCCGACTAAAATTTTTTAAATTAATTTTTTTAAAGATTCAAGTGCAATTTTTTTTACAAATTATTTACAATTTCATTTATTAATTTGTTTCAAATTATTTTTGTCAGTTTGAAAAAGTTATTAATGAAGTTTTAAATATTGATCCCATTATAAATAAATAAATTTTATTTATACATATGTAATCATTAAAATTTCATCATTGATAATTGTAAAAGGTTTAAAAAAAAATGGTGTGTGTGTGTGTGAGTGTTAAGAATTTAAAACGAATTAATAATTTTATCTATTAAATCTTATTTAATTGTCACTTTTAAATAAAAAAAAGGGGGGTTATTGTTAAAATGAGTTGTTGTGATAAAAAAAAAAACAACCGAGTGTATATAAGGCTTACATCCTCCCACTCAATAAAATTTTACATAAATTATATTAAACGCCCTGATTGATAAGTATAAAAAGGTTACAATTTATTTAATTGATTTAAATTGACTTACTGTAAACAACAACAACAACAACAATAAAGAATTTTTTTTTTTTTTTTAAATAAAATTTTAAATTTAAATAAAACTGGTTCAATAAAGTAAATGATTATTAATGATGATCCAATAATAATAATAAATTTAATTGATTTTAATATCATTATGTTAATAATTAATAATATTATAGGATAAATAAAAGTTTTATCATTTTCAATGCTGCTTTAATAATTTTATGATCGAGTTTTCTATGAAACGAACGATATTGAATTAAATCGATTGTGAATTGTTTTTTTTTTTTTTTATAATTAATTTTCACATTTGAAATGTTTACCTTGCACGTGCAAAAAAAAAATAAAAACAACTAGATTCTAATATATGTCATAAATGTATGCCAAGATTCTGGTTTGGTAACATTCGAAAACCTGTTTTACAAAAATGTAAAAAAAAAAGAAATAATAATTATTTTTATGCAAGAGCTACCGATTGAAACTTTTTTAAAATAATAAATAGAAAATAAGAAACTCGTTAAAAAAATATCGAACGTATTTAATATTATTATTATTATTATTATTATTATTATTATTATTATTATTATTATTATTATTATTATTATTGTTATTATTAAATTAAAAAGTAAAAAAAAAAAAAAAGTTAAAAAGTACGAATGTGGGTGTGACGTCACTATCAATATAACTCCATGATGATAATAATTGTTATTATTATTATTATTGATTTGTTTTTTTATTTAAAATTTATTTAAATTCTAAGATAAAAAATATTAATAATTTATTTAAATAAATAATAAATGAATTAAAATAAAAAAAAAGGAAAAAAAATGAAGGAGAGTAAATTTTTACCGGGTCGTGTGGTAATGATAAAAAAAAAAAAAAAAAAATTAACCTTTGAACCATTTTTTTCTTTTTTCCTTTGGGGACTTTTTTTATTTATTTTTATTACAAGAATGAATGCTATTAATACGTCATTACACGAGTCTCGTATTGTCATTTATAATAAATTGTATAATTTATTTAATATATATTTTACGCCATTTTTTTTTTTTTTTAGTGCAAAAGTAAATTAAAAGTACAAAAAAATATTATTATTCTAGAAATTGTTTTTTTTTTTTTTTTTTTTTTTTACAATTCCGTTTCGGTTGAAAAAACTCGTAAAACGAATAATTTTTACACCCCCATCGAGGGAATTTATTACCTAATAAAATAATTTTAATGAGTTCGTATTCGTTCTCCATTTTTAATTTTTTTTTGGTAAACGAAAATAAAAAAATTATTTTAAAAAACTGTATAAATATATTTCTATTTGTTTGTTAATTTGTTTATACGTAGTTTTTTCCAAACGTTTTTTTTTTTTTGTTACCGTAATATAAAAATTATAAAAAAAAATTATACTCGGGTACAAAGTTTACATGGCATGTTTTTCATATTAAAAAAAAAAAAAAAATCTTGTAATATTACGTTGTTTACAAATATTTAAATAAAACTTCTTTTTCTTTTTCTTTTGCTGCAAATTTGTTGTAATATTTTTAAAATATTATTTAAAAAAATATTAAATTATTTAAATGGCTGTTTAAATATTTTTTATATATATTATTAATTCTATATTTATATGTGTATACATTTCGTTAAAAATTGTCACATTTTTAACGTAAATTCTCGTTATAAAATTTTACGCAATGGAAAAAATAATAATAATAATAATTCGGTAAATTTCCATTGACTTCTTATGCAAAAAAAAAAAAAAAACATTTATTTTTCTCGAGGCATTTTTTTTTTATTTAATAAAAAAAAAAACCTTTAATGATAATAATAATAATTGTTGCAATACATTTAAAATCAGGTTTTTTTTAATAAAAAAAAAAATTTTGTCTTTCACTTTTTATTAATTGCGTGTAATTATTTAATATAATAATAATAATAATGATTATGATGATGATGATGATGATGATGATGATTATGGTGATGATTATGGTGATGCTGATGTTGATGATGATGATGATGATAAAATTAAACTCTTACTTGTTAAATTATTATTTAAAAAACTAAATTTTTTTTTTTTTTTATTTGTTTATTTTTATTCGTTTGTTTAATTCGCGACAAAAAAAATTGTTAATAGTTATAAAATAATAACAATAATAATTTTTTTTAAAAATTATTAAATATCATCAATATCAATAAATTAATAAATAATCGTTATATTTTAATAATTATTGATTTTTTTGTTGTTGTTGTTACAAAAATTAATTAATAATTTCGATATTCAATTACAATTATTATTATTATTATTATTAAGAAAGTCAAATCCCGATTGCAACAAATTAAAAAAAAAAAAAAATTAAAATTTATTAATCGCTCTTCTTTATAATTTTTTTTATTTTTTATTATTATTGAAAGGAAAAATGAAAATTTTTGTAAATCCGTGACGAAATTAATTATTTTTTTAATCGATTTAATAATTTTTTTTTTTTTTATTAACAATTTTTTTTTTTGTTTTTAATCGATAACAATTTTTTTTATGGTTTTATTTTTTTTTTAAAATATCGGACGAAGAATACAAAATTTCATTTTCTCTTTAAGAAAGAAAAAAAACCGCCAAAATGATAAAATTTTTTTCAACGGTTAAGTTTTTTTTTTTATCAATTTTATCACACAAACGTGTATACGAATTGAATTTTTTTTTTTTTTTGTAAACATTTTGTGGTTTATAACAATTACATAATAAAAGTTTTGAAAGTTTTAATTTAACCTTCCGGAATTTAAATAAATTCCGCAAAAATGCTGCCACTATTACAAAAAAAAAAAAAAAAAAACTCGATTAAGTGTCGATTAAATATCGATTATTCGATTCTTAAAATAATATTTATTATTATTATTAATTTATTTATTTTTTTAATGTAAATAAATAAGTACTAAATTATAAAAAAAAAATTTTAATTCGTGGCAGCAGAAGAAAACTTTCAAATTTACGCGGCAAAATATTTTTTTTTTTAGTATATTCTACATTAAATAATTATTTTTAAAAAGATTTTTTTTTTTTTTTATGTAATTGTAATTATTACCGAAAAAAAAAAGAAGGAAAAGGACGGTGACATGCGTTATACATATTATTATTATTATTATTATTATTATTAACATCCATCATTACCATAAATAATTATTACGTTGGGTAAATAATTATGTGGCGGTTAAAAAAAAATTTTTTTTCGTATACCGAAACATTTAAAAAGTGTAGTAAATTTACGTATTGGAAAGAGAGACAGAGATAGATAGGTAGATAGAGAGAGAGATAGAGAGAGAGATAGAGAGAGAGAGAGAGAGAGAGAGAGAGATAGAGAGAGAGGGGGGGCATCGAAAGGAAAATTTCAAAAAATTTGTTGTGATATGTATAATTTAAAAAAAAAAAAAAGAAAAGAAATTTATGAAATATGTAATTAATGTATAAACCGAATAAGTGGATCGAAAAAAAAAGAAGAGAAAAAAAAAGTAGATGGATATAGTAAAAAACCTTTCACTTAAAAATTTTTTTTTTAAACTTTTTTTTTTTTTTTTAAATAATAATAATAATAATAATAATAATAATAATAATAATAATAATAATAATAATAATAATAATAATAATAATAATAATAAGAAGAAGAATAAGAAGAAGAAGAAGAAAAAAAAAGAAACCTTAAGGCGCGTGTAATTGCTCTCTAATTCTTTTTTTTTTTTTGGGGGGGGGGGAAAATATTAAACGCGTTTAAAATATATAATTCTTGGCGGTAAAATAATAATAATAATGATAATAATTTTTTTGACACATGTAACATTTTATTTTAATGACAGTTTTCTTTACACAAAAAAAAAAAAAAAACGTTAAAAAAAAAAAATTGTTTTTTTGTAACGAAAGTTTTTTTTTATTATTATTAACATAAAATCGTGGTTTATCATTCGTCCATTTTTTAAATCAATCGTGAAAATAATTTATTATTATTATTTTTTTGTAGCAGACGAAAAAAAAAAAAAAAACAAATCGTTGAAAACAAACAATCTGTAAAATTTTAATACGTTAATGTTTTGAACGCGCTACCGTAATTTTTATTATATTCTCATTCTCGGGTGTGTTTTTTTACTCTATGCCTTCCGGCAAATATCAATCGTACCTTTTTTTTTTTTTTGTATTTTGCTTTTTAAAAATTTTTTCGGGGTTTTGTTGTTGGGTTCGATCTAACGACATTTAATTACCACCATCATCATTTTATAATTATAACCTTTTCCCCCCATACAGGTTCGATAAATTTTCCCCTCGAATTTTTATTTTTTTCTTTATGACTTTCACTTTTTTAATAAAAAAAAAAAAAATTTAATAATTTATTAAAATTTAACCTTTTTTTTTTGTCGTTGATAAATTTGTTTAATTTATTATTATTATTATTATTATTATTATTATTATTATTATTATTATTATTATTATTATTATTATT